GGTAGCTGGGAGAGGGCGAGCGAACGCCTCTGGGCTCACGCCCGCCCCCTGGGGGCTGCTGCCACTCGCCCCCAGCTGGGGAGCGTTTGCCCGTTAAACTGTGGGGCCCTGTGCCCCACGCAGAGGGGGACACTCCGGGCCTCTGGCCACCGTGGGCCCCCAACTACGGACCTGGGCGAACACAGCTCTCAGGCAGCTGGCCCAGCCCATTCGATTTACAGAGGAAGAAACTGAGGCCCGGTGAGGGCTAGTGATCTGCTCAAGGTCACAGAGCTGGTTCTTGGTGGGCCTGCGACTAGAGTGAGGCCCCCCAGCTTTCAGCCTGGGGCTCTTCCTGCCCGACTGTGCAGCTTGGGAAGTGAGTGGGGCGGGTGCATCCGAGCCCACCCCCAAATGGGAAGGCATTGGAACTCCCTGATGTGTTTGCCATTTGAGCTAGCTCTCTCGACCCCTTGCCCCACAGCTCGGGGCAGAGTCCAGTCTTCACTCTAGCTGCAGCTGTCCCGGCCTGGAGACCCAGGGGGCGGGGCTCAATCCATCCCCCAGGCTCACTCCCTGAGCCATGCCACCTCCCCTTCAGGTTGAGCCTGGAGGGCACGTCACTGTCTGCTGGAGGGGGCTTATTCCATCAGCTGGTCCTTGTCTCTTCTGCCAGGCCCTGGAGCTGGTGACAGTGCTGGTGGGCAGTCCCCGAGCAGATGGGCTTGTCTCTCTTCTTACCACCTCTGAGGACGCTGATGAGCCCCAGCGGCTGCAGTTTCCGCTGCCCACAGCCCAGCGCTCGCTGGAGCCTGGGACCCCCCGATGGGCCAACTATGTCAAGGGAGTGATTCAGCACTACCCAGGTATGGGGTCCAGTTCATGGGTCAAGTTCGTGCTGGTACTAGGAGTGCCACCTCACAGCCACAAAGCCCACTCATTCATCTAAAACACTGGGGGAGGCTTGCAGGGTAGAGCATCAGGATTGTGCAGATGAGGAAACTGATGCTGCAGCAGGTTCTGGAACTTGCCTGGGTTTCCCGTTACGTGATTGAAGGAGCCAGGATTCATACCCCGGGAGGACAACTAGGAACACAGTCCCAGCAACCTCAGAGTGTGGGAAAATGGAGGGTGATGGGCCCCTTGACCCAGCAGGTAGTAGCTCCTTACAGTTCAAAGTCACCCTGGAAGCAGCTGCTAGGCTGTTGCCTTCCTGCTGGGACACGAGCCTTTCCTGTGCTTATCCTCCCGGGCAGCCATCTGACCATCACTCATTCTTTCCCCCACAGCTGCCCCGCTCCCTGGCTTCAGTGCAGTGGTGGTCAGCTCAGTGCCCCTGGGGGGTGGGCTGTCCAGCTCAGCATCCCTGGAAGTGGCCACATACACCTTCCTCCAGCAGCTCTGCCCAGGTACCACCTGGGCCCCAGCCCCTGACTGAACCCTCCTCCGTCCCTGAGGTCCCCTGGTGGCCAGAGCTTCTGTGACTGGGTGGGGGTGGGGGTAGAAGTCTCTCTGGAGTGTCATGGGAGCTACTGCTGCTCCCACCCATCCACCCCTTGTGCCCCCTCCTGGGCCCCAGCCTCCCCACCTCACCCTATATTGCAGACTCAGGGGCGCTAGCCACCCGGGCCCAGGTGTGTCAGCGGGCCGAGCACAGCTTCGCAGGGGTGCCCTGTGGCATCATGGACCAGCTCATCGCACTGCTGGGGCAGAAAGGCCACGCGCTTCTCATTGACTGCAGGTCAGGGCTCCCCTTGTGCCCTGCCACCTCCTGCTCAGGAGCTCCCGGGTGAAGTGTCCACTGCCTAGCACAGCAAGCAGACACTTGGCCTTGTCATTTTCCCCACTCTGACTCCACCCCAGGTCCCTGGAGACAAGCCTGGTGCCACTCTCAGACCCCAGGCTGGCCGTGCTCATCACCAACTCCAACGTCCGCCACTCCCTGGGCTCCAGCGAGTACCCCCTGCGGCGGCGCCAGTGTGAAGAAGTGGCCCGGGCACTGGGCAAGGAGAGTCTTCGGGACGTGCAGCTGGAGGAGCTGGAGGGTGAGAGCTGGCCAGAGCACTTTGTCCCAGAGATGGCGGGGCTCCCTGATGGTGCCTCAGCATGGCCTTGGCCCTTCTGGGCAGCCCAGATCGCTAGGGCCTCCCGCCATGCTCTCCTACTCCCCGCAGACCCTGCAAACTTGGGGCTCCAACCTCAGCAGGGCTGCCGGAAACCCTAAAATGGCTTAATCTAATTAGAGAATCCCATTTCCATTGTGGGAAATGTGGAAAAGTACCAAGTAGAAACTAAGAAGCTGTAAGGCCACTACTCAGAGATAACCACTGTTATTTTCATATATTTCCTTCCAATGTTTTTTGACATCTGTGTTTTCAAAATTGAGTATGTGTAATATTGTCACTTGCCCTTTTTTTTACTTGGTATTATCTCAGAACCCTATTCTGTGCCATGAAAGGTGCATCTTGAACATGGCTTTTTAATGCATCATAATATTTCAGACAGGTGCTCTGTTATTTGCTTACTGTTTTCTGATACACCTCACACTGTGATGAGCTTTTTTATGTATGTCTTTTTTTTTTTTTTTTTTTTTAAGAGACTGGGTCTCACTGTATTGCCCAGGGAGTATTCTTAAGGTTTCTGACACCTACACATCGCCAGGAAGGTAGTCTGTTTAACAGTTCTGAGGACATAAAAATACTAACTTATTTAATTCCCTTGAAACTCCGTAAAGCAGGTACTTTTACTATTATTCTCATTTTTCGATGGGGAATCTATAGTAAGACAATGCTGAGATTTGAACCCAGGCAGGTTAGCTCTACAGCCCATGCTCTTGGCCACTGTACCATGCCACCCACACTGGGAGTTGTGCCCTTCCTGGCAATGTGGATGTGCCCATCTCAGGGACACTGGGCAGCCCGGAGGGACTGTCCTGTCCTGCTTTGTGAACTGTCATATTCTGCAGGCAGCCCTTCCTTCAGAGGTGCCCTGCCTGCTCTGTGTAGATGACCTTGGCCAAGGGTTTCACGCTTGAGCACTCGCGTCCCTCCTCCTCACCCCAGCCTTTCCACACCACTCCTCTGGGTCTCCTGCTAACTAAGGAGCGGTGCTGCTCCTGCCTGGCCCGGAGTCCTGCCCTAGCAGCCCCCACCCCCTCTCTTGCACCTGCCTTCTTGCCTGTCCTCTGCCTTGCTCCTTCCCTTCTGCCTCTGGAACATGGTCAGTTTCCTTCCCTCCCAGAACATTGCCCGTTATCTCATCTCCACGCCTTACTCTTCTGGGTCTGCCTGCTCTTCTCCCATCCGGGTCCTAACAGGGTCCTAACAGCGCTCCCAGGGCCTCCCACTGGCTGCTCCCCTCCCCCTCTGCTGGTGCCTCCCCGAGACTTTGTCCTCAGCGCCCAGCCTCGGCCACTACTGAGGACTCAGCCTGCAGCACCCCGCTGTCCTGGCTGCAGCCCTGCATTTCCAGCTGGGGTCCTGCAGCCTGTACCCCACCGACAACTGAACCCATCGTCCTTCCTCCCCACAGGCTTCTCCTGACTTTCCTTGTCCGTGATTTCCTCACCCTGCCACTCCTGTTTGAGACCTGAGTCACCTGAGCGCTCACTGCCTTCTCCATTTAGGCTGCCCTCCCACTCCTGCCTCTGACTGCTGTCTCTCCTTTCCTCCCCCTCCAGCACACCCCTCTTTGGTCCCTGACTGCCGCCTGGACTCCTGGTGCCCACTTCTCCCAGCTCAGGCCTCTTGCGCGGGGTGCTCGCTCTGTCCCTCCTCTGCTCCAGAACCTCTGTGGCCCACAGAACTGAGCTGCAGAGGCCTCTGGCCCTCAGGGCTGCCCATGCAGACTCGGCTTGTCCTTCCACATCAGCTTGAGCCAGGTGGGACAGCCTGCTGCTGTCCCCTGTCCCCCTGGAGCACCAGCCTTCAGGCTCCATGTTGCTCCTGCGTAAACATCAGCAGAATTTCTTCTCTGTCCTGCTCTGTTGTGGGCAGCAGCGTCCGCTCACCTTGGAAAGCACCGAATTCCGTTCCTCACTGCACCCGAATGATGCAGGTGTCCCGTCCTACAGTTGAGGCAGGGGGCGCTAAGGGGCTCCTCAGAACCAAGCCTGAGACAAGCAGGCCTGCGCCCCACACCTCATGCCCCCTGCCCCTTCACTGTTGAGTGACCAGCCAGGGCCACTGCCCGAGCCATCCCGGGCCCTCTCCCAGTGCACCAGCCCTGGGAGGCGGGCTTCCCACCCCTTTCCCTCCCCAGCTGGCAGAGAGCTGGTGAGCAAGGAGGGCTTCCGGCGGGCGCGGCACGTCGTGGGTGAGATCCGGCGCACAGCCCAGGCAGCGGCCGCCCTGAGCCGCGGGGACTACAGAGCCTTCGGCCGCCTCATGGTGGAGAGTCACCACTCGCTCAGGTGAGGCCCTCAGGTGCCCCACACCTCCCGGGCACAGGCTGGGCCCAGGCCCACCCCTCCCGTATCCTCTCTGCAGGGATGATTATGAGGTGAGCTGCCCTGAGCTGGACCAGCTGGTAGAAGCCGCACTGTCTGTGCCTGGGGTTTACGGCAGCCGCATGACAGGTGGTGGCTTCGGTGGCTGCACAGTGACACTGCTGGAGACCTCCTCTGCTCCCCGTGCCATGCAGCACATACAGGTTGGTGGGCACCAGGACTTGGGTGGGCAGGAGAGGCAGGTTCCCAGGGCCCTGCCCGTCGCTCAGATCCAGCCCTTCCCCACCAAGGAGCAGTACGGGGGTACCGCCACCTTCTACCTCTCTCAAGCGGCCGATGGTGCCCAGGTGCTGCGCCTGTGAAGAGACGTCCCCAGACGGCACACAGCGGGCACAGGGCCTGGCAAGTCATGCAGTTCTGTGCCCGGCACCCACCCAGATGCAGATATCCGGGCGCTCAATAAACCTGTGCCTCCAACCATGGTACCCGCCCGCGTCCAGAGGTGGGTGTGTGCGTGGGCGTCGGGCAGGCACCTCTCCGGCCTTGGAGAAAGGACAGGGCAGGGCCAGGCAGTAGCAAAATATTTTATTAAATGCTTGTCCTTGTCATGCTAGTCTTGGCTCTTTGGTTATAAATGGGTCTAGGCCCAGAGTGGGGGCAGCCAGAGGGGCTTTCTGGGACCGCTGCCCCCTTCATGCCTCCCAGAGGACACCTACCCTTGCCCTGTGGCCAGAGGCGCGAGCCCTGGGATCAGCATGTGACGGGGCTGGGCCCCCAGGGGTCCAAGGATGAAGTAGCTGAGGTGGCACCGGGGAGAAGAGGTGGGGAGGCGGCCTGGGTTCCAGGATACGGTGGGGCCGGGGGTCAGGTCTGGAAGAACTGTTGGTCCACCTGGGTGCTGAGTGTTCCGCTGGTGGTCAGCGTCCTACTCACAAACTCCTGGGTCACATGGCGGGTGAGGGAACCACCTGCGTCCAGGCGCTGGGACCCCAGGGTCAGTCCATCTGTGGGGGAAGAGGCATTGAAGGACTCTACGTGCATCCCTGTCCCCTGTTAGCTCTGTGCTCCCAGGGGAGCAAGCCAGTACCCCCTGCCCCTCGGTGACTCACCCACTAGGAAGGGCTCGGTGGTGCTGGTGTGGGTGGTGGTCACGCTGCTGTACTCGCCTTGCAGTGGGTGCTGGAAGAGCCCGGGGTGGCTGCCCAGCTGTGGGAAGGGGCCTGGAGCAGGCAGACTGGCCGGTCAGAGGGTGGCGCCAGGAGAGGCGTGGCCAGAGAAGGGCGGGGGCGAGGAAGTGGGCAGGTGCCTACCTCCATCCTGGGACTCGATGGTGATGATGCCCTCACGCTCTGGCCCAAAGCCCTCGGTGGTCCTGGCCTGCACCTTGAACTTGTAGGGCACGTTCTCGCTGAGGCCTGGCACCGTCAGCCGGCTCTCAGGGTTGTCTCCATCCACCCGGAATGTGGTGGCTGGCCCTGAGCAGGGAAGATGCCTTCAGCCTCCGTGGCCCCCTGTCCACCCCTGCCTTGGCCACCCCTGCCCCGAGGGCGGGCAGCACCTCCTCCTTGGGCCATCTCACAGGTCACCAGGTAGCCAAGGATGTCACCATTGGGCCTCCGTGGCCGCTCCCAGCTCAGCTGCAGTGAGTCTGGGCTCAGGGCTGTGAACACCAGTGGGCCTGGGGCACTGGGGGTGCTCAGTGTGAAGGCGGAGCCTGGGGGCAGCAGAGGGAGGATGTCAGCATGTGGGTGGCGGGGGTGGGTCTAATGGGTGGGGTGGGAGTGGGGCAACTCACCTGGCAGGGGGCAGAGTGGGCTCTGCGGGTACACCTGTGATTCGATGGTGATCACCCCCTCGCGCTCTCGGCCCCAGCCCTCCTGGCTCTGGGCCCGCACGCGGAACACATAGGAGTGGTTGGGAAGGAGATCTTCCACCACCACTGAGGTTTGACCAGGGTTGGGGATGTTGAGCTGGTGTAGCTCACCTGTGGGGTGGGGGCAGACAATAGAGCAGCATTACTCCCACACCTGGCCTAATCCCCCCACCTCCCTAGGCTGCGATTAAGACCTGGTCATCACCCGCCCATGACTGGCTGTGCTTTGGGTACAGTATGATATGGCTGGTTGTTCAGGTTGTGCACCATATAAGAGATGCATGGAGCCTGCAGTCCCATCCATGCTCTGGCCAAATCTTGTGCCCTGGCCAGGGGCCCAGGTCATGCTGCTTCAAGTGTGTCTGCCCAGGAAAGTGCCATTTCCCAGTTACCATCAAGGTGTCTCAGGCCAGCAGAGGCTCTGGGTCCCTAGGCCAAGGAGGCCTTGTTAGGCAAAACCTAGCAAAGGGAATGACCAGGAGAGAGCCCCAGGGTGGTGGATGAGGCTTCAGGAAGGGGGAGGCAATGAAGGGGGAGGATGGGGTGAGAGACCCTCTCAGAAAGGCAGGTGGAGGCATTAGTGCCCAAGGGACCTGACACAGCCGAGGTCCCCGTTTGTCACCCTAGAGCCAGCCCTGCAGGGCTATTACCCCGCCACCCAGCAGCAGCCGCGCCTCACCGCCGTTCAGCAGCTGGTACTCCACGCTGTAGCCCTGCAGTGCCCGCTCGCACTGGGGCTCCTGCCAGCTCACTTTCAGAGACGTGGGCCCCAGGGCGGAGAACACCAGGCGGGTGGGGGTGTCCGGCACACCAGAAGTCAGCCGAGAGTCTGGAGACAGGAGGCCACAGTCAGCCTGAGAGGCAGGGGCTGGGGTATCTGGTAGGAGTCACAGTGCAGCCCTCGACCTCCCTCTCAGCTGGCACGTCTACACTGACCATTGGCCAGGCAACTCACTCACCCTGCAACACCCTGCAGGCTGCCCAGCACCTCCCACACGTCGTCAGAGTGGGTGCGGGCCCTGCCTGTGCCAAGAGAGGGTGAGCCCCGTGAGCCTGCCGGCCCCCACGCCCATCCCCTCCTCAGCTGGCCTGGCCCCTTCCTGCCCCCTCCCTGTGCCGGGGAAGGGCAGAGGCAGTGTTAGGCATCAGCGCTGATGAGTGTGGGGCAGGTGGTTAGCTCCTGTGGGTGGGCAGGGGTCCTGTGGATGGAATGGAGGGTGAAGCAGTGGGCACAGGTGGTGGCTGCTGTGGTGGCTGGATGATGTGGAGCCGAGCAAGACAGCCGTGGAGACAGGAGGGCCACCCCTGTACTACCTGGGCCCCATGAGGGCGCTGCTGGCTGCCCAGCCAGGATTATAGAATCTCGTGTGCCCCTGGAGGGGGGGGACCCCTTCATCTGAGCCCGACTCCGGGGCCCCAGGGCCCAGGACAGCGGGAGCCTGCTCCTCCCGTGTTCCCAGATGGGAGGGAGGCCTAGGGCAGGACAAAAGGAGAGTGAGAGGAGCAGGGAGCCTGCGTGTGCGTGTCTGTTTTGGAGGATGGGCCCTGGGGCTGGCAGACTGCCCGAGCCTCCAGGAGCTGGAAGACACGCAGGACCGGCGGAGGCCACTCACCGTGGGAGGAGAGGGAGGTGAGGGTGGAGTAGTCCCTGGGCATGGTGGAGTGAGAGTGCTCCGTGCGGGTCAGCGAGTGGTAGTCCCGCGTGAGGGTGGACGATGTGCTCAGCACTCGGTGGGGCAGCTGTGGGCTCAGGTGGGTGCCGTAGGCCGCGTTGGCGACCGTCATCCTGTGCAGGGAGTTGGCGCTACCCGGGAAGGCAAAGTCCATCCGGCCGTTTACCAGGTGCTCTGCAGGGGGAGAGCAGGGTCAGTCACTCTGGTCAGGCCTGCATGAGACCTGGAGCCTCTGGGGCGGGCTGTGGCCCTGGGAATTCCTGGGATTGCTTACCCTCGGGGTGCCGTTGTGTAAATGTAACCAGTTTCCCTCAAAGCACCAGGGACAGAGGCCCTACATCCCTGGAGGAGTCCAAGGGTCTCAGCCCATGTCCTCTGGCTTGCCAGTATGGATAGTCTAAGCACAGCTGGCTCTAGCAGGGGGACTTGCCGCCCCTGTGGTCAGCCCTGCCCTGGGAAGAAGCCAAAGCCTTCCTCTTTTTATTTTTTTGAGACAGAGTCTCGCTCTCTTGCCCCAGCTGGAGTGCCATGGCATCATCATAGCTCACTGCAACCTCTAGCTCCCAGGTTCAAGCGACACTCCTGCTTCAGCCTCGAAAGTAGCTGGGACTACAGGCGTGGGGCCACTGTGCTCCGCTACTGTTTCTATTTTTAGCAGAGACTGGTCTGGCTCTTGCTCAGGCTGGTCTCGAACTCCTGAGCTCAAGTGACCCTCCTGCCTCTGCCTCCCAGAGTGCTAAGATTACAGGTGTGAGCCACCGCGCCAGGTCAAAGCCTTCCCTCTTGTCCTGTGCAGCCCTTGAGGGGTCTACTTGGGTACCAGGGGCAGAACAGACTTCTCAAGCTGTGTGCCCCCAGCTGGATAGGCGGTAATGGGGGGTCACGGCCCGTGGGAGCAGTCCTGCCCTGGGGAGAGCCGGGACGCCTGCCCTGGGGAGAGCCGGGACGCCTGCCCTGGGGGTCCCTTGGCACGCCGGCCTCTGCAGCTGATGCCCTGGCCGGCAGGACACCAACGTGGGCGGCCTGGCTGAAAGTGAGGCCTGGCGGCGAGCGCGAGTGATCCTTGGTGCAGGGTCGGGGCGCGGCGGGGCCAGCCCGTCACCTCCGGCCGGCTCGGGCGTCGCGCCGCGGGGCAGGCTGCCGCCCTCTCCGCCCGCGTCCCCCGCGCGGGGGTCGGCGCCGTCGTCCGGGGACCCGCGGGGCGCCTCGCCGGCGTCGGAAGAGCGCCCGCTGCTGGCCGACAGGCGCGGGATGAGCTCCGGGGGCAGCCGCCACGTGACGCGCCGCAGGTCCAGCTCCTCCCCCAGCAGGGGCTCGAACTTCCAGCCGCCGCCTTGGGAACAACGAAGGGCCGCGTTGGCACCGCCGGGGGGCGCGGGGGCGGCTGCGCCGAGCAGGGCCGGGCGGGCGGAGGCCGGCGGCGCGGCGACGAGAGCCCGTCCTCCCGGCTCTCCGGGGTCCAAGTGTGTGCGGGGCGAGGGGTGCGCGCTGCCGACGGTGGGACCCTGCCCTGCTCGGCCCGTCCGTGTGAGCCAGTGCGGCCCTGCACCAGCCAGGGAGCCTGGGCGCTGTCACCAGCTGTGTGGTCTCCCATTACTAACCGCTCTGAGCCTCAGTTTCCCAGCTGTACAACGGAGAGCGTCATCTCTCCCCTGCCTGCCTCCTGGAGAAAGTTCCAGAAGCCACGGAGTGCTCTGAAGGTAGTGGTAGTAGCAGCTAACCTGTGTCTCCTGATTCCTACCCACCACTCTACCCTCAGCTCCAGGGGACAAGTGTGTGTTCACTGGGGGGCCGGAGGCAGGACTGGGACGGGAGAAATTACAAATAAGTGGGCCCAGGAGGGTCTTCCACTCATGGTGTTGTGTGATTACACAGATCAGAAAACTGAGGCTCAGAGAGGGTAAGTGATTTATCTGATGCCCCACAGCAGAGCTGAGCACTCTGCACCACACTGTGCCGCGAACCAAGGAGGGAAGAACAGAGGCGGCAGGGGTGTCACTGCCTTGGCTGCCCAGACCCCCGCCCGGTGGTGCTCAGGGATCCCACTGGCTGTGCCTGCTGTGCCTCTCACACAGGCCTGCCCCGGAGGTGGCCTGAGTGTCCTGACTCCATGGCCCAGCTGGTGAACCTGATTCAAGTGGCAAAGCGGTCGCCACGTGGCCTCATGCCCGTGAACCCATGTGTACTTGCTCGAGCCTGCGTGCACCTGCCCCAGGCGCATGTTTGCGTGCCCTCAGACCCGCACACACAACTGCACACGCCATTGCTCTTGTCTGCGGCTGAGAGGGGACTTCTAGTCTTGACCTCTGTGCTCTGTAGCTGCCGGCCCCTTTGCTCTCTCTGGACACCAGTGGCAGCCCCGCTGTGTACCCAAGACACACACCTTCGTCTCGTAGACCCCAGGCCCACTCACCAGTGTCATCGGAGACGCTGGGCCTCTGGCTGCCAGACGGGGAGCGCAGGACGTCATCGCTGTACATGAGGAAGCTCTCGTAGTCCTCCCCACCCTGGGCGTCCACAATGGGGATGTCGGGGATGATGGGGACTGCAGGGTGGGAGCAGGTGAGCTGACCCCAGCTGTGGCCCCTTGCCCAACGCCCATCCGCCCTGCACCACCTCACCCCCACTCACTGGACATGGGCCGCTTGGGCTGGGTGGCCAGGTTGATGATAGCCTCCCGCTCAGGCCCCCAGCCAGCCCCATTTCGCGCCTTGACCGTGTAGCGGTACGGCTGGGACTCCCGAAGGTTCTCGATGAGCAGCATCCGGTTCTTGGGGTTGTCAACCAGCACCTTTTTCATTGGCCCGATGGGTCCTGGGGCAGGGAGAGCACTTCAGAGGCATAGCCCAGGTTCCAGCCAGGTCCCAGCGCTGCCTCTGACATAGTGGGCCTGACAGACAGCCCCTGACAGCACCCGGGGGCACAGAGCCAGGCAGGAGTGTGCAGCCACCTGTGGAGCCCTTAGAGCCTCAGCATGGCTGGCTTAGATGAATGTCACTAGCTCTCCAAAGGACTCATCACTAAGTGAATGGCAGAGCCAGGGCTGGACTCAAGCTGGCCTTACTGTCACCTGTACCGACATGCCCAAGGTGAGGCTTGCTCAGAAGGTGAGGGCATGTGCAGGGTGCTGTCCTCACCACCCTGTGGTCAGTGTGACACCCAGCCCCCAAATGTGCTCGCTGTTGAGGAAGCAGAGGTGGCAGCAGCTGAAGCCCCACCAAGGCTGCCCTTGGGGGGCTGTGGCCACATGAGCTGGGAGGGGAAGGCAGGAGTGGGCTCAGGGAGGCCGAAATTCAGGACAAACTGCGGCCATGCGAGCAAAGGGGGACAGAGTGGAGTGGAGGCAAAGGGTTGCCCGTGGATGCTGGAGGGCTGGCTGTGTTTATTAGCAGAGAACAGAGGTCTGGCAGTTCTCGACTCACAGCTAGAAGGGTGGACACACCACCTTGGGAGAACAGAGGACAGCCCTGGCTGCTCTAAGTGAATTCTACGTGGGTTATAGTGCCTAGGCCCCAGTGCGACGAGATGAGCCCCACCACGTTGCAAGACTCTCAGAAACCAGAGAAGGCACAAAAGAATGGGGACCAGAAAGTGTTCTGGTTTCCAAAGAGGTCCAAAGGAGAATTCTGGAAAGTGACATCTGAGAAGCTTGATGTCCACCTCCAGCAAACAACTGTGCTCAAGAGTGCAGTTGACAGAGACTCGTGAGCTTGGAGGAACGTCTTGAATAGCCATGGTGGGGGCCACCCTGGGCCCACCCCCTTGCATCTCTGTCAGCCAGGGGGTGAAGGGGAAAAGGTTGGGTACCCACATGCAGATGCCCTCGGCTGGGAGGGCTGCCTGGCATATTTCACGACACAGCCGAGGCCTCAGCAGGCTGAAGCCATGGGCTAAAACCATCAGGAGTGACCTTTCACTAGGATACCTGTCACTCCTGGGGTTAAAGGCCTGGTCAGAGGAGACCACCCAGCTGTGGTCCACGGGGCATACTAAGTGTTGTAAGCTCAGGACAAGCCAAGGGTGGGACAGCTGCTGAGAAGGTTGGTGCCAGGGTGGCCTGGTTAGTAAGGAGTGACGAGGCAGCCCCCTCCCTCTGAGAACCCCCACAGAGCAGTCCTGCTGCCCTCTGCCCTGTTGGGTCACGCTGGGATGGCTGGGCCTGGGTTCACAGGTCTGGTGCGGGTGGTGAGCTCCCCATCACTGAGATCAACCAGCAGAGGTGAGGCTGATTTCTTTAGAACACTTTCTCATCTTAACAGGTGGCAGGGGTCACCCACCCTTGCTGCCCTTCCAGGACTGGGAAGAAATAATAGTTCTGCCAGGTGCTCTGGTCTAGGGCTGCCAGGAAAAATATTGTATGAAATATTCTAAAAATATACATTTGATATTCAGGGCATCCTGTTCTGTTTTGTTTTTTTAAAACAGGTTCTGTCTCTGTTGCCCAGGCTGGAGTGCAGTGGCGTCATCATAGCTTACTGCAACCTCCAACGCTTGGACTCAAGCGATCCTCCTGCCTCAGCCTCCTGAGTAGCTGGGACTTCAGGTGTGCCCCACCATGCCTGGCTAATTTTATTTTTAGTCTTTTGTAGAGATGGGGGTCTTGCTAAGTTGCCCCAGCTGGTCTTGATATTCTGGCCTCTAGCAATCTTCCTGCCTTGGCCTCCCAAAGTGCTAGGATTACAGGTGTGAGCCACGAAGCCTGTATTTTTATTTGCTGAATCTGGCATCTCTACTCTTGGCTCTAAGAGAACCATATGAAATGAACCATATGAATATGGGCAGGTGCCCCTGACCTGTGACCCCGCTGCATGTACGCAATCCCACCCACCCTGTGGGCTTCCGGGCTTGGCCTTGGAATGCAGCGCAGCCCAAATCCGGCCATAAACCTGAGGATGCCTCAGGCTTATCTGCTGACCAGGACAAGGGGCTTCGAGTGCCCTGCACAGCAGATCCAGGAGTGACCCAGAGCCCTGACCCCACTCCAGCTCTTTGTCCCCTCCCCTTCCATGGCTGCTGTCCCCGGGGGCAGGGAGGAGGGGACAGTTCTTACGGTTGTCCTCGTTGACCAGGCCGTAGCAGACCTCGTAGGCTGTGATCTCACCGTTGGTCTCAGCCGGTTCAGCCCAGCTCACCTGGGTCACCGTGGAGGAGACGACATTGAAGGCCAGCCGCCCTGGCTCGCTGGGTACTGGAGGTGGGGCAGGAAGAGCGCTGTCAGCGGCAGAGGGAAGCAGGGAGGGAGGGAGGGAGGGCTGGACACGGTGGCATCAGGGTAGCCAGGGGACGGATAGACGGACGTGGTGAGGCCTCACCTTCCTGGTGGGTGCGGCAGGACACCAGGGAGCTGTAGGGACCCTCGCCTTGTGCCCCGTAGGCGCACACCTTCATCTCATAGTCACAATGTGGGTACAGGTTGGTGAGCTCCACCGAGGGTACCTTGCTGTCGAGCAGGTGGGCTTCTGACTCGGAGTCACCCTGGATCCAGTACTTCACCTGCTCCCAGGGGGAACGGTCAGTGGCGAGCGGCAAGCGCCAGAGCTGCTCGTCCCTCCGTTGAGTCCCGCCCTCACTGTCCCCTTTGCACAGATGAGAACACTGAGGCAGCGGGGTGGGGTGGGCAGCTGAGTGACCTGCCAGGTTCACGCAGCAGGCCCGGGCACAGCAAGCGTCTCCCCTCTTCCCTGGCACAGACAGGGTCTCCCTCTGCCCACTTGTGCTGCGGCCGCCCGCCCCTCTCGCCCCTGGCCTGGGGCGGCCCACCTCTCCCCGTGCACCTGTCGTGGCCCATGCCCCCAGCCTTACCCTGTACCCCATGGGCTTGCCAGGAGGGGGAAGCCAGTTGAAATGGATCTTCCGGGACCCAGCGGCCTTGGCATTGGGGTTCTGTGGGGCACCCAGGTTGCCGTGGGAGGATGGTGGTGATGACCCAGTGGGGATCACGAAGTTCCGGTCCAGTTCATCTCCTGGGTCAAGGCAAGGCAGAGCAACCGGCTCAGACACCCCGTCACCACCGGGGGGCGCCAGAGAACCCCATTAGTCCCCCAGGCTCCCTCACCCCGAGAGCGTTCAACTGAGACCTGCCCTCGCACGTGTCTGGGTGCCAGTGCCCCGTTGGTGCCGCAGAGGGCGTCGTGCCGAACTTGGCAGAGGGCCCAGGAGGGTCTCTGGAGGAAGAAGGAGGGAGTTCATCTGCCCCTCCTTTCTAAGGGAACATTTGCTCCACGCCCCTTCTCCATCCCGTACCCTGAGTACCTCCCTCCTCCGGGACCCGAAGGACTGATCGGGACTCATTGGCTCATCCCTTCCAGGGGCGCCTGCCTTTGTTGGAACTGAGGCTGGAGTCAAAGGGCTGGGGTCTAATGTGGGGATTCCTGCCATGTGGCCCCATGATCTGTCTGTCTGGTTGAGAACCAGATAAAATGCAGGGTGCCCAGTTAAATTTGAATTTCACATAAACGCTTTTCTTAAGGATAAGCATGTCCCAAATATTGCGTGGGACATACTTATACTATGGACGTATTTGTTGTTTATGTGAAATTCATATTTTCTGAGACAGGGCCTTGCTTTATTGCCCAGACATGAGGACAGTGGCATCATCATAGCTCACAGCAACCTCAAACTCCTGGGCTCAAGCCATCTTCCTGCCTCAGCCTCCCAAGTAGCTGGGACTACAGGTGTGCACCATCATGCCCAGCTAATTTTTCTATTTTTTGTAGAGATGGGGTCTTGGTATGTTACCCAGGCTGGGTTCAAGTGATCCTCCCCCCTTGTCCTCCCAAAGTGCTGCGTTTACAGGCGTGAGCCACCGCGCCCGGCCTGAGATTCAGATTTAACTGGGCACAGTGTGTTTGCATTTGCTAAGTCTGGCAGCCCTAGTCGAGAGGCCCCCAGCCCTCCCTCTCCCCCTGCTTAAGCCAACCCGAGGCTCTGCCCACCTCTGTCCCGGTCCCCGATGATGATGGTGGCCGAGTGGGGCTGGCCCAGGCGGGCCCCGAACTTGGGGTTGCTGAGTTGGACGTGGAAGCGGCGGGTCTGGCGGCCCCGCAGGAGAGAGTCCACCTCCTGCAGCTCCAGCAGCTTCACCTGCAGCTCTTTCCAGGTCTCCCCAGGGTGGAACAGCAGCTCGCCCTCCGTGGGGACGTAGTCCTGGGAGGGGAGGGGGTCGGGGTCAGGCTGGGGCTTGGGGTCAGGCGGCTCAGAAATCAGAGCCTTCTGGGGCCAGGGAGGCACACAGAGTCACAGCCACATGCTCCATCGCAGCCTCATGGACGCTGCAGGGACCATCACAAAGACTGTCACACGTGGACACAAAATGGCTCACGTCTACATAGCACCTTCTGTGCCTCAAGCACTTTACAAATACCAGCTCACTTGGTCCTCACAGCAAGGTGAGGTGTAGATATTATCATCCCCATTTTACAGATAAGGAAACCAAGATATGCAGAAGTTAAGGAACTCGCCCAACTTCCACACGGGTCACTGTGGTGGAGCTGGGGTTTGAACTAAGGGACAGAGAGAGACACAGGCATGCACCACAGAGACGGAGTCCCCCGCACAGGCAGGCAGTCAGCCCTGGGGAGCTGGGATTTGTGGGTGTCACCCAGGAAGAACTGTCCTCCCACACTGTGGTTCTGAAACTGGGGTTCAGCCCAGCCCCAAGCACTGCTTGCTGGGTGGGACGCTTCCATCAGCTTCAATGCCGCTGAGCTTGCCTGAGCTTCTCAGGATACGTGTGTGTGTGTGTGTGTGTGTGTGTGTGTGTGTGTGTGTGTGTGTGAGGAGGGGGAGCGAGAGAGACACACACAGGACGGCAACTGGGAGAAGAAAAAAAAAACAAAAAAACCTTCCCCCAGAAGACCACTAGGTGGCGCTTCAAAGTAACGTTTCAACTCCAGGCAGCCCGGGCAGGGCCACGGCTGGGCAAGCCAAACTCAAATGCTGCCCAGCTCAGAAAGTGAGGCCTGTAGGTGTAAGAAAAACAAGGAGATGTCTGCAAGCAAACTGATGCAGATACTTAAAAAATGTCAATGTCATGAAAGACAGCCACGGAACTGTTCTAGATTAAAGGAGACTAAAGACACATGACAAAATTCAATGCCATATCCTTGACTGGTTCCTGGATTGGGGGGAAAAGCTATAAAGGACATTATTGGAAGGTCTAAACGGGGAGATCTCATTATTAGGTACTAGTATAATCAACGTGAAGCTTCCTAAGTGTCGTGTGGTTATGTTAGGAGAACGACCTTGTTCTTAGGAGGTACCTGCAGAAGGCTTTAGGGTCTACGTGATGTCTGCAGCTTACTTTGAATAGTTCAGCAAACAGAACAAACATGCACACACACATACACATGCACACACACGTACACACACGTACACACATGCACACACATGTACACACATGGGGACACAGATACATAGATCTATGTATCTGTCTACCCGTGTCGCTATCTACATAGGAAGAGGGAGAAGGCAAATACTAACAACCGGTGAGTCCGTGTACAGGGGAAGTGGGTGCTAATTGTATGAGTCTGTCCATTTTTCTCTATGTTTGAAGCTTTTAAAAATAAAAAGGTGAGAAATACTAAGAATGTTTTTAAAAAATAGTTAAATACCAAAGCATCTTTACGGATGCAGAACAGGGCAGGCAGAATCTCTTGTACAATGCAGCGTGGGCAGCGTGGGCAGCAGGAAGCAAAGGAAACGGCCTGGCCCCGCTGCCGGGGCCCGCTGAGCACGCACAGCGCTGTGTTTGCCACACAGGCCCAGTGAGGCTAGATTTTATTACTTTTGAGAGAACTTTTGATATGGATATTTTTAATTTTTAAATGTTGGTAATAAAATCATAACTAAAAACAAAACCAAAAACCCTGTAAGCCAAACCAAGCATGTCCACCACCTGGATTTGGCGGGTCACTGATTCTGGGGCTTAGCCATGAAGGGGACCCCAGCCTGGGCCATGGCGCTCCCTGCCTTGGGGGGCTGCTCCTGCTGCTGGGCCCAGGGAGGAAGAACAGTGCTAGCCCTCGAGGAGTCTGGCCCGGGGACATGGGGTCTGCAATCCCAGCTCAAGAAGCCCGAAGCGCCCAGCACTAGGGCAGACAGCGGAGTCCATTTCTCTGCATAAGGTCTGGCCACCTTGGTGGATCTGGGTTGTTGAGGGGGAGGCAGGAAGGATCTGGGCAGGTCCCAGCCCATCAAGGAGGAAACCGTCCCTGGCAGCAATGGGGCATCACCCAGGCTGTCACTGGCACTTTGGGTGATGGAGACGCCCCTGCCACAGTGTGGCAGGAGCAGGTGGACATGTCTTTGAGAGGCCAGCCAGGGGCGCCACCAGCACGTGGGAACTTGAGCAGCTGCCATGTCCCGCTCTGTCTTAGGAACTGAGTGAGGTGCCCACTGGCCCCCTGCGACACACCCTCGACCCCACGGTGGAGCCTTACCCTGTTGCCCTGCGCCGTGTTGTCCTGCGTGCGATAGGAGACCTGGGACTTGCCGCTGTCCAGGATGCGCCGGACGACGGGAATGCGGGCCACTTGCTCCGCGCGGCTGACAGAGTACTCGGGCTGCTCGAAGAACACCACCCCGCTGGCTGCAAGGAGCCCGGGCCCCGGTCAGAGGGTCCTGGCCTCTGCTCCTTCTCCTGCTCTCCCTCCAGCCCGGCCCAGCCCAGCCTAGGATGCAGGAGTCTGCTGGGAGTCTGCTTCACCCCATCGCCCTCTGGGAGGGTGGAGGAATGGGACGGAAGATTCTTCCAGAAAAAGTTGAGGGGGTTAGAACAGTATCCAACAGACATCCTAGAAGGGTCATGGCAGAGAAAGGAGGCCAGGCAGGGTGGGACCCACAGTGGATCCGTGAGACTAGATAGGAGGAACAAGAGGCTGGACGTGGGGCAGTGCCAGGAAGACCTTGCCACGATGCTAACAGAAGCTCCCGCTCCTACGACCGCGCGCTGTGCAGACAGGTACAGCCACGGACTCCTCACGAGACCTCTACCCATTTTACAGATAGAGAAACTGAGGCCCGAGGGGACTAAGTGACAGGCCCAGCCACATGGCCAAGTCCCCCTTCTACTTGGCTACCAAGAGGAAGCAGGTGCACGCGGCTCCCGTCCACCTCCCTCGCTGTCCCCACCCTGACCGACCTTGCTCTTTGATGATGGTGATGTTCACCAGGCGGCGGCCGAGGGTGGCGGTGCCCACAGGCACGTCGATGGCCTCCACCAGCAGCTGCTTCTCGTCGTCGTCCTCGGGCCGGATGAAGAGGGGCACACGCACGTCCACCAGCTCCACACCCTCCTGGAACTCCACCATGCCCCGCGCCTCTGGGTGGGGAATGGGCGTGGGTGGGACGTGGGTCACAGGGGCGTGGGTGGTACAGGGAGTGGCGCTGGGGGCCTGCCCACCTACCCTGGTCCGCGGTGAGGGTGTAGTAGCCGGGGGCCACCTTGAGCTCGTGGAAGGCCCCCTGTTCCACCTGCTTCTCTGTGAGCTTCAGCAGGGCCTGCTTGGCCGAGCGGGGCGCCGTCAGCACCGTGTCCACAATGGTGTGGTCTTGCCTGGCTCAGGAGGGTCAGGTGGGGGAGGTGTCAGGCTGGCACATGCCCTGCCCCCCCCCCCCGCCTGTCCTCTCTCCATCAGCAGACAGGATGCGAGACAGCAAAAGTCCAGGGTCTTCAGAGCCAGGCAGTGCTTGAGGCCCATGCTGGCCCCACCACCCTCACCCTGCAGCCTCAGCCAGCCATGGGTCCTCCCTGAGCCTCAGTGTCTTCCTCTGTGAAACAGGCTTCCCCACCCTCCTCCCTGAGAAGGGCTGGGAGTCGATGCAGGACAGTAGGGATGCTAAGGGTGTGGGTGCTGAAGCCAGGCTGCCCCGGGCCTAACCCTGGCTGTAGTCCTTGCCAGCTAGTTAACCTTGGGCCAGTCACCTAACCCCTCTGGGCCTCAGTTTCCTCATCTGTAAAATGGGAGCAGCAGTGGTAAGTACCCCACAGGGTTGATGAGAGGGTCGGGTAAGATAACCACGCACGCAAACCCTCGGACAATGCCTGGTCCACTTAGGCCCTCGAAACTGCTGGTCCAAATCACTCTACTGGTGGCGGCGATGTGCCGTTCTTCCAGGTCTGTCGCCTCTGCACTGAGACCCCTCCTCTCTCCCTCCCTCTACCCCTGAAGGGCCAGGACCCGGTGGGACATGGGGAAAGAGGACGGACCTGCTGGCCCATCTTCTCAGTAACCTGCCTGCCATCCAGAGATGCCCCCTGGACCACGGTCTCTCACCCTGGAGAGGGCACTGGGCCGTCCCTGGTCCTGGGAGGCTGTCGCTGGTAAGAGGGCGGGAATTGGCTCTGCTTTGGCCCCGGGGCTGCTCCGCAGCAAGCCCTTCCCGTTGGTATTTGTGGAAGGAAGGTCCTGACCCACGACAGACACACCGGCCCTGCTTTCGTTTGGGGTGGAGCGGGGCAGGGGGCAGATGGCAGGAATGAGGCCATCCCACCCTGTGTCTTCTACTCACTTTTTCCCGGCATTGGGCTGCTGCCTGTGGGGGACAGAGAGGGACAGAGGTGAGCTGGATGGTCCCTGGGGTGGGGGCTTGGTCTGCGTGGGTTCCTGGAGTTGTCCGTGAGTGGCTCCCCGCCCAACCCTGCGGACCCCGGCTTCCCGCTGTGGCTGGCAGGGCCCCGACTCACCGGAACTTGGTCTGCTGGAGCTTGTGTGCACCTGCGATCTGTCTGTACACCTCGTTCAGCTGCCAGGCAAGGGGGGCCGTGAGGCAGGGCCTCAGATGCCCCACGGGGAGCCCTCCGGGCCGGGGCCCTGGGGGCCAGGGGGGCTCTACCCAGAGGACCTCAGGTGGGCTGGGCATGCTCACGGGGCTACGTCCTGAGGCCCAGGCTCTGTGGCCTCCTCCCCTCTGAAGAGATCCCAGGATGACCCCTGCCAGGCACACATCCGGAGAAGCCCCTCTCTGCCGCCTGGACGCATCTCGGTGCCGCCCCCACACCCACGCCGCTGGGTTCCTCCCGCTGCCCTTACGTTCTCCTCCACCTCCTGGCGCAGCTGGTCGCATTCCCGCGTGCTGGGCTTCAGCAGGTTCTCGGTGCAGAGGCGGGCGAGGCGCAGGGACAGCCCGTAGGGCACTAGGGCAGGCGGGCAGGATGGGTGTTGTCAGCTCCCGGCACGGCCGGGACCGCAGAGCTCCCCTTCCAGCAGCCATGCCAGGATCGGGGACAGATGGCCAGCTGGTGGCCAGCAGGCCAGGCACACCGAGGCCTGAGGCTTGTAGTGCCATCAGGAAGGGGCAAAGGGTGGCTGAGCCCTGTGCCTGCACCCAACACCCAGAGAAGACAGGGGTGGTGTAGGCCCAGATCTGGGACGGAGGTCCCGAGGGCCCCAGGGACACTGCCAAGAGCCACAGCGCCCAGCCCCAGTCCTCACCCAGCTCCGTGGGGTTGGTGCTGGCGGCATGGGTGGCAAAGCCAGGCCGCTGCACGTTGTTGGTGATCTTCCAGCGCACGGTGTCACGCCCCTTGAGGTTCCCGCTGCGCAGCATGGGCGTGTCCAGGTGGTCGGAGGCCATCAGGTTCTCCCGCAGCATGTAGTGGTCCTCCTTAAAGCCCACCATGTGGCCTGTGGGACAGGGTCCTCAGCACGGGGCCCCTAGACCCACCCTGGTAAGCCCCATCAGGTGGGACCCCAGGGCCTCCTGCCTCTGTTCCAGGCTTGGCCCCCACCTCCCTCCACTCTAGCTTGGAGAAAGAGCGGTCAGAGCCTCCACCCCCTACCCCTGCCGATGCCAGGCCCATACCTCGGTTGCAGCAGGGGAGAAGTGCCAGGCAGGCCTAGGAGACAAGGTGGGTGGGGTGAGGCCTGGGACGGCTGCCCCAGCCCAGGCAAACCCCTCCAGCCAGCTCCCCGTGCCAGTGGTCCAGAGGGTGGCAGTGCCGCCCACACACCAGGATACGCAGGCAGTGGCGGGGGTCTAAGCATGGTGCACATGGGCATGCGGGGACAGGGGCAGAGGGCTCCCAAAGTTTGTGCCGTGGAACCCTGGTCCTGCCAGATGCTTTGTACAGTGAAGCTTCTGTGGCCAAGTTCATCTGGGAAGCACTGAGTGCACTCCCCATGATGCGTGTGGGTTCACTGTGCACATGATTATAGTAAAGGCTCTGATAAGGCTACAGCGAGCTATGATGGTGCCACTGCAGTCCAGCCTGGGCAACAGAGCAAGACCCTATCTCGAAAACAAAAAGGCTCTGAGAAGTCCCGCAGAGAAGAAACCCGTTTCTCAAACATATTTGATCACAGTACTCCTTTTCTATGTAACACACTAATATCCCACAACACCGGCGGTGGCTGCAGACTGTGGCCTCTGCCCCCTACAATTCAGCATTCCCCTGCTGCGCCCTTCTCCGGGTTTCCTCTCCTCGTCTGTTCTCCCCAATGAGACTGTCAGCTGCAGGCAGGCAGGGTTACCCTTCCCTGCTGCAGCTCCCATGCCCTTCGCGCGTGGCTGACCCCAAGGCAGGTGCTCCTGGGGACATGGTGCTGATGGCTGGTGCTGTGGGTGCTGGGACGGGCACTAGAGCTGGGGTAGAGGTGAGCTCGCCCTACCTTGGCCGCTTATGAGGACCTTGTGTATATCGCCTGTCTCTGACCTTGTTTCTCCATCTGTCATAGGGGATAGTGACCTTGCCCCACTGACCTCATGGGGTGACCGAGAGGAGAAAATGAAGTCATGTGGACACACACTGCTGTGACAGCACAAAGAATGACCCTGAGCTGAACAAGGAGCTGAAGGCAGCAACAGGATTGTGCTGGGAGCTGGGGCTCCGAGGACGATGTGGGGTTGGGGCTCCACAGGCTTCAGCATCATTTAAAAAAATGTTTTGCAGAGATGGGGTCTCACTATGTTGCCCAGGTTGGTCTCGAACTCTTGGCCTCAAGCGATCCTCCCACCTTGGCCTCCCAAAGTGCTGGGATCACAGGCGTGAGCCACCGCGCCCGGCACTGTCCTCATCACCACCACACAGGAGGCTGGAGCCGGGGTTGGGGGAGGTGTCAGGGATCTCCAGGAGCCAGCTCGGGAAGGGGTGGGAACTGGCTGGGCGCAACATGGTGCTCACCACAGCTCAGTCCCCTTCTGAGAACTTTACTCAGCTCCTTTGAGCTTCATCACCACTTTCTGAGGTTGGTTATATTTTCCCCATTTTACAGATGAGGAAACTGAGGCATGGAGAGATTAACTTGCCCAAAGTCACATGCCGGGACCAAAACTCCGGCAGTTGGGCTCCACGGGCTGAAGTCTTTGGGAAGGAAGCTGGGTGGAGACACTGGGTGGGCTGCAAGGGGAGCCATGGGGAGGGTGGGGACCCTGGGGGGTTGGACCATGAGGGGAGTGGGGAACCCTGGCGGGGAGTGGAGACCCCGAGGGGATGGTGGGGACCCTGGGTAGACTGCCAGGGGAAACACGGGGACGGTGGGGACCCCGGGGGTGGGGACCCTAGCGAGGGTTGCAGACCATGAGGAAGACCCTGGGGGGTTGTGGACGCTGGGGGCGGGCAGCCTGGGGAGAACCGGGGCTCTCACCTTGCAGCAGGCACAGTACTTCCAACAGAGCAGCAGCAGCAGGGCCAGGAGCAACAGGAGGAAGAGGAGCAGGGGGATGAGCCACCAGAAGGAGCTGGGAGGACAGTCTGGGGAGGGGAGAGGAGGAGGAAGGAGGAGCTGCCCACTGCCCCCACACAGGCCCGACGGGCCGGCCCTTCCCCGCACCCGGCCCGCCAGCTCACCCTTCTTCTTGTGCACCAGGACGGTGCTGTTGGGCCCCGGGCTGCCGTCGCCCTCCACGGTGTAGCTGTAGGTGCAGTCGTCGTCCTCGTCCCGGAAGGAGCAGTACTCCACCACCTCCTCCGCTGCACCCACAGCCGCTCAGCAGGGGACCCCGACCCCACCCCCTCCCCCGAGCACGCAGGGCCCGGGGAAGTGCCCCCTACTCTGGGACCTGCCCCACCCACCGTGGGGCCTGAGGCTCCTCCCTGGGGAAGAGTGTAAGTCCCTGGCAAGCCGTGCCCTCCTCCGGCACAGGGAGGGGGCGAGGTGGGGGCTGCCGTCTCCCCGTTCCCTGACCGGGGCACCAGCCTGGAGCCTGGTGTCTGGAAGGTGCATCCGGCCTGGAGGGAGGGAGGCCGCGCACCTCACGGCCTGACCACATGCCCCTGCCCGACCCAGGCGCCTCCTCCCTGCACTCTTGGTCTCCTCCTCAGCTGTGTGCCCTCTGGCCAGACTGCTTGCCCGCCGCCTGGGTTCTGTGCCCCCTGCCCAGACTTTTTACCCTTTTCCTGGAGTTGGTGTCCCCTGTCTGGGTTCTGCGGCTCCTCCCACCTCGGGGACCCCTATCCAGGCTGTGGCCTCAACTTGGACTGTGAGCCCCTGCCCAGATAGGTGACAGCCCTGCCCTGTTGGGTCTCAGCACCCGCCTAGGCTCTCAGAACCCCTGGCCCTCGGCCCCTGCCCCCTACCTTTCTTAAGCTCATCCACCATCTTGACCTTGAAGCTGCACTCGCCGCACATGCGTCCCTTCTTCTCCCCCGTGCCCCAGGCCTGGCACTGCACACAGGAGCGCAGGTCCTCGCAGAGGCCCAGGCGGATCTGGGTGGGGAGGGAAGGCAGACGGGTACTGAGCTGGGTGGGCTTCTGCCAGGCCCCGCTCCCCCAACCTCATGCCCTTGGCTGGCTCCTGTGGCACGAGGCTCGGCCCCTCCTGTCCGCCCTGCCCTGTGCCTGGGGTTCCCGCGCCCACTCCCCAGTGATCCTGGCCTCACCGCTGAGTAGTTGATCTCGCAGGTGGTGTCCGTGTAGAGCGACTGCTGGTTGCAGTGGCAGCGGCCACACTCACAGTGGCCACGCCCATTGCAGATGCCCTGGAGCAGGAGGGGGCACAGTGAGCCAGCTGTGCCCCATGCCTGCCCAGTCCCGTCCCCTCCCTCCCTGGGGTTCGCTCTTGAGAGGGTGGGTGGCCCTGACTCAGGCCTCCTCTGCTGCCCTGCACTGCCTGTCCCATGCCCAGGCCTACCCCATTACTGTCGATGCAGGTGGCATTGCTGAGGGGACAGTCACAGCTTGGTCCTGTCCAACCAGGCTCACACACACACTGGCCCATGGAGCAGCGTCCCCGGTCTGCAGAGGGTCAGGGAAGGGAGCGGAGAGAGCCACATTTGCAGCTGAAGTCTGGGCTGCCCACCTGCCAGGAAGGGCAGCCGAGCCGAGCCGAGCCCTGGCAGCCAGGATGTCTCAGGCCAGGAGCAGGAGTCACCTCTTCCTCACGTTCCTGGAATCTCCTTCCCTCCACCTCTCCCCGTCCCAACTTCTACCTTCCACTCTGCAGCCAGAGTGATCATCCCAAAACACAAACCCAATCATGAGGCGCCCTGTTCAAGAACGTCTAATGGGTCCTGGTCAATGCAATAAGATAAGAAAAAGAAATAAATTGTATAAGTCTTAGAAAGTAAGAAATAAAACTGTCGTAATTTGCAAGTGTCAGGAACATGTCACAAAATATCCAGAAGAACCTACAGATAAATTATTCGATTTCAGAAGTGAGTTTGGCAAGGTGGCTGGATACGAGGTTAACATACAAGTACTTAGAAAATGAAATTAAAAGCTCTGATGACTTGCTTTTGTCCAAAAGATCAAGTTCTGCCCTGGACCACAGCCCAAGCCCCTTACACTCTGGCGCTGCCTCCTTCCCCGGAGGCATGGTCCTCCCTTCCTCTGCCACACCTCCACCATGCCCAACGTCTGCCTTTCTCCAGTGGCGCCTGGTTCTCCCTTCTGTTTCTCTGAGCACCCTCTGGGGTGGACAGTTGAAGAGAAGAAACAGCAAACAAAAGCAAGAGTGGAGGCAGAGTAGCAAAGCGGGGCTCGATCTCCAGTGGCGAGTACACAACGGGGCTTCCTAAGCATGTGATGAGTGGATTTTCATTCGTCCCCCTCCATTCAACGACCAATCCTTCCAGGTGCCCCCTCGTCTGAGTTCTGTGACCCCTGCCCAGCGCTGGTGGTCCTGACCAGACTCTGAGCCGTGGCCTGGGCCCAACACTGTGCTGGGCCCCGAGGGAGTATAGCAGAAGCACAACTCCAGGCCCCCTGCTAGAAATGTCGCATCGTGGAAGAGAGGACAGATCACCACGCCATGCACTTGCCAACCATCGAGAGCGGAGCTGGGCGGCACCCACCCCAATGAGATGGGGGAATGGAGAGGCCAGGTGGGCAGAGACCTGAACTGCCAGAGAGAACTGGAGCCCAGGTCTAGGGAATGCCATGCCGGCAGGGGCCCTGGGCATCGACGCTGCAGATGAGGGAAGTGAGGTCAGGCTGGGGCAGGACCTGGGGGAGGCGCGCTCAGGGAGTCCAGAGTGGGCTGGGCCTGACCTTAGGGATCCTGACTCCAGGTCCGGCTCTCCCAACCTGGGCCCCGAAGGGAGGGTCACCCTTGCTGCCCACCCCCACCTGCCCTGGCTGCAGCGTCTGAGCTCACCATTGCAGAGGAAGCCGGAGGTGCGGGGACACTGGAAGTTGTCGTACTCGCAGAACTGACCCTCGTAGCGGCCTTCGCCGTAGCACACACAGTGTCCGCACTGGCACTCCCCTCGGCCTGAGCACGGCTTGTCCTCGTCCTCCCGCAGGCAGGGCTGCATGTCACTCAGCAAGCCCGTGGAGCAGTTGCAGGTCTTGCCGCTCCTGAGGGAGGAACCAGTCATGTCCCCGAAGCCAGGAATGAAGGTTGGGGCTTTTACCGTCCCCATTGTACACATGAGGAAACTGAGGCTCTGGGAGGCCCGAGGCAGGTCCAAGTCACGCAGCCAGCAGTGGCTGAGCTGAGACCCAAACCTCAGTGCCCTGCTACCCGCTCAGGGTGCCTTCCTCACTGCTGCTCTGTCCCAAGGCACAACAGACACATTCAGCGTCTTGACGCTTTAAAAGCCCTTCCTACCATCCACTTACAAACTCTTTTCTGACTAGGAGATACGTACATGTGGTTCAAAATACTAAAAGTACAAAAGATGCAGAGTGAAAAGTAAGTCTCCCTCCCGGGCCTGTCCCCCAATGCCCAGCCACCCCCAGACACTGCTGTGTCAGTCCTTGCCTGTCTTTCCAGAGCTCAGCCACGTATCTCTGTATTTCAGAGTGCTTTGAACCGGATTCACCCAACAACTGGGTGTGCCCCTCTCCTAGCCCTTTCTGTGATTGCCACCCAGCCCCGGTTGGCGTACAGGGTCCTCGGGGCTGGACTCCCCTCCCCCACTCACCAGCCCTCGCTGCACACACAGCGTCCGCACGTGAAGTCTCCCTTGAAGTTGCAGCGAGCTGACTGCACCTCTTTTTGCTGGAATGAGACCATTGGTGGATGGCAGGGTGGATGGAGGGAGGGGGACCAGGGCCGCTGGACATTTCTGCTGGCCTGTGTGCCTCGGGACGCCCCACAAAGGAGACGAGGCCAAAGGAGCAGTGCTTTGTTACGCAGGGCCCCGGGGTGCTGGCCTCAGCCCCTCCCTGCGCCTGGCAGGGCTGCGTCGTACCAGCTCGCAGGCGCACACGTCACAGATGATGCCCACGTCCATCCTGAGGCCATCGGAGAAGGAAGGTTTCAGGTGGACGTTGCCCTTCTGGTCCTCCACTGGCAGCTGGCACACGTGTGTCCCATCCAGGTCCTCGATGGCCCGAAGGTGCACTTGGTATGTGCCCTGCAGGGACCGCACGGTCAGCCAAGGCAGTCCCTGCCCTGACAACCAGGGGGCCACCGGAGCCCGAAGGCCCTCGGCCCCCAAGGTAACCCTCTGGTCACCACGCTTTTATTAATCCCACGGGTCCGACGAGGATACCAAGAAGCTGAGGAACGTGCCAACCTCATCTGAGTGGCTGACCCAGGCGGATTTGAACCCAGGCCTGCCTGACTCCAGGGGCCATGCTCTTTTCTTTTTTGGAGACAGAGTCTTACTCTGTCACCTGGGCTAGAGTGCCATGGTGTCAGGTTAGCTCACAGCAACCTCAAACTCCTGGGCTCAAGCGGTCCTCCTGCCTCAGTCTCCTGAGTAGCCGGAACTACAGGAGTGCACCACTGCGCCCGGCTAATTTTTTGTTGCCCAGCTAATTTTTTTCTATTTTTAGTAGATACGGGGTCTCGCTCTTGCTCAGGCTGGTCTCAAACTCCTGACCTCAAGCAATCCTCCCGCCTCGGCCTCCCAGAGTGCTAGGATTACATGCGTGAGCCACCGCGCCCGGCCACAGGGGCCACACTCTTGACCACCATTTTAGACAACACCACCCATCGCAGGGGGCTATACCCGTCCCCCAGGCCGCAGCCCCCACGGAGGCATACCACTTTCCCCCGCTGAATGTGAAAGGACCCTGTCTTCGTCTTCTCAAACATCTTGGAGGTGACCTCTGTCCGCAGGCCTCGGGGGCTGTCCAGGGCCCGGATGTCCAGGTTGGAGCGAATGCGCTGAAGGGGGACAGGAGGTCAGTGGCCTGGGTGGGGGCCTGGGCTCGTTGCTCTGCCTGGCCCAGCTGTGTGCGCCCCACCCCCGTGGAGGGCCAGCGTGGTGTGGGAGGGATCACGGTGGCAGAGCCTGCAGCGGCCCAGGGACACCCAGAGACCCCTCCCACTGGCCTCTCACACACCCATTTCTCAACTGTGACCTGCGACACCGCTTGTCCACTCCACCCCGCCAGCCCTGCCCCAGAAGGGCTCAGACTCTGGAGCCCGCGCTGCCCGCACCTCGAAGGCCGCCTCCAGCAGCTCCACGATGTTGGACGAGTCCTCCTGCAGCACCCCCAGCGAGGACACAGGGAAGTACGTGTGCAGCTTCTGCGGGAGAGAGTGCCAGGCCTCAGGTAAGCATGGTGTTGAATCCGGACAACAGCTCTGGGTTTATCCCCACTTTGCAGATCGGAAAACGGAGGCCTAGAACCTGCTATCATGTAGCAGAGCCTGCCCTCTTGGCCCCTACCTGCTTAGAGACAGGTTGAGGGGTGGGCACATGACCTCCTCTTCCCACCAGGGCCACTCTTGGGGGGGGCCCAAAAGCTTTGGGAAGGGGGCGGAAGTAGTGTCTGAGATGTTCCATGGACCCCCTGCCCTGCCCCCCTCTTGCCTGTGGGCCCAGACCCCCACCTCGTAGTAGCTGTAGGAGTAGTTGGTGACGGCGAAGATGGGGATGATGTTGTGCTTGGCCAGCACGCGCACCAGGGTGGGCACCGACGGGTAGTCCTGCGTCTTATACTGGGTGTAGGTGCCCGTGGCGTCCAGGTGGCACCTCTCATCGTTGCGGCTCATGATGCCGGCCAGCACGTTGGCACCGTCAGCCTCATAGTGGAAGGCCGACTCGGTGGAGAAGACCAGCAGGTGGGTGCTGTCGGGGCGCCAGCCGATGGCCCTCTGGGGGAGGCAAGGAGGGGCGTGCCCACTGAGCCGGCTGCCAGCTGAGGACACAGCCTCGTATAGGGCAGTGACAGCAGGTCACAACACGGGGCTGAGCTTAAATCACGGGATTAACAGCATGTGCCGTCAAGAAAAATGCATGGGACGGCACACGAGGGACGATGGTGAGAAACAGACTCCAGCGGTGCTGCATCTGTCTGGGCACACGGCGGCCTGTGCATCTGGCTGCCCCGCCCCCAGGCTCTTACCTGCTCTGTACGAATATTCTAACTTCACAGGAAAGTGGCCACAGCACAACATTCAATGACAAAGGACAGCTGAAGTAGGTACAGCTGTGCAGGGCAATGTGTTAGAAAAATATGGGTGACTTTGAAAACTAAGTATTACAAGAGAAAGTGCTTATGATAGTGTTATGTGAAAAAAAAGCAAATTTCAGAATCACGAGTACACTGATTCCAACCATATAAAACAAGGAAAAGGGAATAAAATGTGCTGGCTGGATAGCAAGTGGCTGGCTGTTCGAGGGTGGTGAAATTATGGGCAATTTCTCTTCTTTATTTTCTCAATGGTCTATAATGTGGATATGTGATTTTCATAATGAAACAATGAATGTGCAGAGAAGAAGTGGCCCCTTTAGCTGCCCAGCACAGTGGGAGACTGGGCAGCTTGTGTGTCCTGGGAGACTGGCCTCAGGGCACTGAAGATTCCAGAATCCCAAGGCCCATGTCTACCTTGCTGGCCAGTACAAAGCCAGCAGTGCCTGCTCAGGCCGGGGGCCTTGGCTCCCAGCCTCTGAACCCAGATTGCAACCGGGACCATTAAGAAGGTCTGAGCTTGTCTCAGGGCAAGGGGGCCACAGGCTCCCCAGCATCCCCTCGGGGGCCTCTGAGCCCAGTGCCAGAGCACCCAGCGGGCAGCTCATGCCCTTGCCAAGAAGCGCCAGCCTCTGGTCCAGATGGGCAGCGCACTTCCTGGCGCTCACCGTGCACACAGCTGTCTGCAAGATGGCATCGAAGCCGCCCTCTGGAGCATCTAGGTTGCCCGAGATGCGCTCTCCCTGCAGTTTGTTCCGGAACTCCTCCACATCCTCTGTCAGGCTGATGACGTTCTTGAAGGAGAAGGGGGGGTCGCTGTTGGGCCAGGGCTCCTTCAGCCTGGGGCAGTGGGAGGGAGAGAGAGCGTATCAGCGGGGAGGACCCCGCAGACCCCAGTGCCCCCGACTCATTCCAACCAGAAGGAGAATTTTAAGCGCCTGGGTGAGAGAGGAGGTGGCCCAGCCAGGACCCCTGCCCACCTGGGGCCCGTTTGGTCACTCACTTCTCAGGCCTCATGTCTGTCTGAGGGACGGTGACTTTGTCCACAAACTTGCCAAATCCAATAGTGTAGTCACGAGTGAGATCGCTCAGGACCCGGGCTGGGTGTCAACAGGAAAATGAGGGGACAGCTGAGCCCCAACACCCCCATATAGACACAGGGACTGGGGCTGGCCCAGAAGTGGGGAGGAGAAGAGCCACCTGTTGTTAACACTTTGCATGCTGGACATCAGTTTGTGCTCACAGGAGCTCCTGTCCCTCTTCAGATGAGGGCAACGGGACTTGGGGACCTGGAGTTGTGCATACAGCAAGTGGGGGGTGGCGGGGAACTGAGCCCAGCTGCCTGCAGGGCTGGGACTTCACCAGGCCTTGTGGCAGGGGCCGCCCTCCTTGTCAGGGCCAGATGGCTCTGCTGCCCCCCAGGACTGGGCCTTCTCTCAAATCCCCAGTGGTGAGCAAGGTCTGGCTGGGATCCTTCCTTGAGAACGGGGGGGATGTTTGGGGGGGCTCAGATGTCCTGTCTTTCCTTGTGAGGTGGGTGCAGCTGTCCTGAGTCCTGGCCTCGCAAGCAGGTGCCCAGCCAGCCGGGGGAGGCCACCCTCTCCACCCCTGCCCTGTCGTCCTCCGCACCGGCCCAGCCCTACCCAGGTTCTGCCCCATCTGCTTGAGGTTGTCCAGATCGTCGGACATGGAGTTGGAGAAGTCCATGAGGATGTACAGGTCCACAGGGCTCTCCTTGGGCTCGAACACCTCCAGCTCGAAGTGCTGCTCCTCGCCCGGCCGCAGGCGGACCCGCAGGCTCTGGGGGGACACCTGGCTGCGCTGCAAGTTGATGTCGATCCGGGACTCCTGCAACCAGGGGAGGGGGACAGCCGGCTGGAGGGTCACTCCAGAGGCCCAGCCAAGGGGCACCGTGGACCCCCGTAAACACCTAGTTGGAGCATGGGGAGCCCCCCCGCCATGCCCGCTCAGGCACCTCCATGATCTGGAAGCTGCTCTCCATGACCACCACGCTCTCCTGCCGGCAGCCCGCGGCCAGCAGCTCTGCCTGGGTGTTGCAGCGCCGTTCCTTGAACATCTGGCCCGAGAGAGATGGGGTGTCGGTGAGGGCGGTGCCCGTCCCCTGGCTGTCCCAACCCTGGATTCATTTCCGCCCGATACTCTTGACCCTTGCCTGTTCTCCCACAGCCACCTGGCCCGAGGCTGGGCGGGGGCTGTGGCAGGTGCGACTTGGCCAGAGCCCAGGTAGGGCGTGGCCTAGGCTGCAGAAGGCAGGAAGGAGGGCGCAGCGCCTCACCTCGTCTGTGCAGTAGGCGCAATCCTTGTCCACGCGGATGCACTCGGTGCAGCTCTTCACCTGAGCCTTCTTGCAGCGGTTGGCTGGGGGGGCAGAGGTGGTCACACGTTTCGGGAGGGGCCTCAGCAGTGACAAGCCCTTCCCCGCATGCACCCCCACTCGAGAGGGCTGGGGATTCTTTCTCTATTTTACAGAGGAGGACACAGGCCCTGGGGTGCTTGGTAGTAGCACAGCTAGAAACGAGCAAAGCCTGGCCTGGAACCTGGCACGTGCCACTCAGATTGGGACGAAGGATGGTGGGGGCTGAGACAGAGGCGCTGGCCCCCTCACTGGTGGGGACGCCCTGGCCACCCCCCTCGCCCACTACCCCCCAGATCCTGCCAAGGTTCCTCAGCCTTCCCTGCTATCTGCCACGAGCTGCACCGCAGTACATGACAGCTGCCACGTGACCTTGTGTCCTCTGAGCCTCCTCCAGGAGAAAGGGGACTGTGTCTGTCTTATTTGTCACTAGGGCCCAAGTACCCAGCACACGCCCTGCACACAGTAGGTCCTCGGTAAATGAATGAGGTAAAACCCCAGAGTTTCCCTAAGGGTCACTGGGACTCCACTCGGTTCTGCCCAGTCACGTGCACCGGCGTGCCCAGCGGCTGCTCTCCCGGGCTCCAGGCAGTGGTGTGCTGGCCGGTGTCTGACAACGACTCTGGTGAGGGAGCCGAAGCCTTGACTTAAAGCATCTGCCGATTTCTGTGGTGTAAATAATCCCGCTGTGGTCTATTTCAAGCTAACAGCATGACTTCAAATGACAGGCAAAATTTAACGGGTTAGAGCTGGCCCCAGTCATTTGGCAACTGGTGATACTCAGAGAGCAGGTGACACGTCAGTGGTCTCTCTCTCCCCTCCAAATCCCTATAAAACTTTTGACTCCACTTTCAAGGCCTCAGGACATCCTCTGGGCTCCTCAGGTCCCCAAGTGTGTCCTGTCTGTCTAGACACAGCCTTCCCCTCTGTCCTCGGCCTGCACGGCGGGGGCTTGCCACTCTCCAGGCTCATGAGTGTGGAGCCTCAAGCTCTCCAGCCCGGGACGTGTGCCACGGCCAGTGGCCGACTGGCTGAGAGAGTCTGGGGGAGACACCTGTGAGAGGCCCTTTGGGAGGACAATGCTTTCAAAGGTGTCCCCTGCCAAGAGGAGTGCTGAGGGCAGTGCGGACTCACCCATGGCCCCAGGGAGGCTGGTGCTCAGCAGGGCTGCCAGCAGCAGCCTGGTCCACGGGCTGGGATGTGGCCCTGCCATCCTCTTCCTCCTGCAGAACAGCAACGATTGACACATGACGCCACTACAGCCCTGGTTGGAGCCATCAGCTCACTGGACGCCCATCAGAGCTCCACAGGAGAGGCAATGCCATTCCCACTGAGCAGGGCTGGAAACGGAGGCTCTGGGAGCTCCAGGAAAGTTACCAAGGGCTCCCAGCTGTGAGAGGCAGGGCCCAGGGTTCCTGACCCATGTCCTTTCCACTGCCCCCTTCCTTGCCATCCCTGCAGTGGGGAAGGACAGGAGGCCTGTTCCCTGCCCAGGGAGGCCCCCTCTTGCTTCGAGGGCTCTGGCTTCTGAGCTTGTCATAGTTCCAGGTGTCTTGGCGCTGGCCTGTCTGAGGGCAGGGCAGGGCAGGGCAGGGCAGGGCTTATTCTGCCCCTGCCTTTTAGCCCCCAGTGGGTCTGGGTCAGGCTTGGCAGGGACAGGGTCCCCCAATAAGGAGGCACCCTAGAGGAGCCCTGGCTCCACGTCCTGCTCGCTCTGTCCTGGCCCACTTGCTCCTTGGTGAGGGTGGGGCAGTCAGGAGGAGGGGGCCTCTCCCAATATCTGGGGCCTGGGGGTGGGGTGCGGTGGCTGGCAGCCCGCTGCTGCCCTGGGCTGGGCGCTGCAGTGGCTGTCTGGCCCTTCAGCGTGAGGCCTGAGTCCCCTGGCCTACCCTCTACCTCTGCCTGCCCCAGAGTTGAGTTTTGGGGGCCCTGAGCAGTTCACCCTTTCCCAAGGTGGCTTTCCCAGAGTGAGACGACAAGCCTCCCCTGCGACACACACGGTGGCTCCACCCCAGGAACCTGGGTTCACTGTTAAACTCTCACCAATAAACTCCTCAGCGACCTCCAGGGGAGGCCCCAGCATCCCTGAGGCCTTTTAAGAGAAGGGCAGCCTGAAGCCTTGGGATGAAAAGAGGCAGGACGCGGAGCCACCGAGTCCTCGGAGCTGAGGGCAAAGGTGAGGGCCCACGCCTCTTTCTCCAGGGCCCGATCCCCTCGTGGCCCAAGGCCTGGCCATGCTTGTGGGGCAGGCGCAGCCCCAAGGGCTGGGGCTGAGGGCCCCGTGGAGCTGGAGAGGCTCTTCTCAGTTGAGGGCAGGAAAGCATTGTGCCCTGGAGCTGCTTCTTCTCAGTTGAGGGCAGGAAAGCATTGTGCCCTGGAGCTGACTGCAGCAGCGCCAACATCCTCAGGCAGGGGGAAGCTGCCTGGCCATTGGCAGCAGCCCTGTGCCAGCAGGGAAAGGGTGGGGGGCGGTTCCTAGGGGGAAATGACTTTCCTACAGCCTCGAGGTGTAGGCACCACACCCACAAGCCGCACAATACAGGCGGCGACTCAGGCCTCCCCGGGCACCATTACACAGGCAGGTGCGGGCACTGGGGGGCCGAGCCCAGCGCTTCCTCACCCTCCCTGTGCCCACAGCCCGGCAGGCAGCACTGACATCCACCGCCATGACAGCGACATGGACCCAGCAATTCACGGACATGGCTGCTACGGGAACCGTACAGGACCCCGGCGCGGACATGCCAGCATCACACCCATTTCCCAGATGACTCGGGGCGCAGAAGGCCGCGGGCTGCCCCATCCACAGCCAGCCCTGGGAGAGTCTGGGCCAGACCCGCATTTAACCTCCACAGCGTACTCAGAGGCTAGAAGTGGCAGTTAGGGGTCTGGATAGGCACCCAGGGATGTTTTGTTTGACTCAATTTGTGTTTAAAAAGTGTTTTGTTTTGTTTTTTGAGACAGGGTCTTGCTCCGTTGCCCAGGCTGGAATGCAGTGGTGTCATCACAGCTCACAGCAACCTCAAACTCCTGGGCTCAAGCCATCCTCCTGCCTCAGCCTCCCGGGTAGCTGGGACTACAGGGGTGCCACCACGCCCAGCTAAGTATTTTTTATGTTTTGTAGAGACAGGGTCTCGCTATTGCCTGGGCTTAAAATGTTTTAAAAGGAGTTGCCAATGTTAGAAACAACGAGATTTCACATAAAGTAAGGATTGTGCGTTTATCAGAAGACGTGTCCCGGGCTGAGCACTCCGAACACCCACACTCCAGGTTGCCCAGGCCCCACCAGGCTGTCCTGACTTGTATGTACTAGCCTGGTCCCTGGAGTATGTGACTGCCACCCCGACTGCTGTCACACTGTGGCACACGTAGCCACATGCCTGGACATACACTGTGACCCTACCCACACACAGGCTCAGAGCTCCCCCACCTGCCCCAAGGGACCCCTCTGGGCACATCGGCACCTGCCCACCCTAGCTCTCGTCCTCCGGCTCTCCCATCTCCCCGCCCTGCAGGGCCCGGGCCTCACCCTCAGGGTCAGCCGCTTTGAGAAGCCTGGAGGCCCTGGCCCCTCGGCTGATCCCTCACCCACAAGAGATCAGGGCCACTGAGACAGACACCCCTTCCCTGCTGTCCCTCCTGCTGTTCTCTTTCCCTCGGCCCCCAGGGTGGAGATTCTCAGCTTTCACTTCTGAAGTGTAGTGTTGGGGCCAGCAACAACCATGGCACTAGTGCCCAGGGTGTGGCAAGGTCATGGGGGAGGAGAAGGAGCCCTGTCCCTGTCCCTGGGAGCCATCCAGAGCCCCAGAGCCACAGTCACAGCTAGCAGCCACCCCAAGGCACAAGCAGGTGGGGAAAGGAGCAGGCACTGCAGGGGGTTGCAGTGGTGGGCACGGCCGCAGGGCTGGTGGGTAAGGTCAGGAGAGCTTCCTGGAGGAAGATTTCTGGAGCCGACTTTGGGAGGAGAGCAGGCCTGTGCTTGGCCAAGAGAAGAGGAGAATTAGGGGCTTCCCGGAGGCCAGGTGGGCTGTGGCACCACACAGGGCAGGCTCTGCCCGGCAGGACAGGGAGGGTGTTTGCCTCTTGGGGAGGCTGCTCCTCTGCCGTCTTTGCAAACTCCAGAGGGGCCCAGCCCAGTAGGCCTGCCAGTGCCAGCCTCTGTCCGCCTCTTCTGCGCACCCACCCAGCACCCTCCTCCAGCCTGAAGGTCTGGCCACCACGAACCCTGGCCCCTCTGCTCCCAGCTGTCCCTGGGCACGCTGGGCGGGCTGAGCACCTGCCCCCGGCAGCATGGGCAGAGGCAACCAGGGCCTGCCAGCCTTCAGGCAGGGGAAAGGGAAACAAAAGCCACCGGTCCTGCCCAGCCAGCTCCCCTGCGCGGCTGCCCGGGCTGGGTGGGCACTCTCTTTCTCCGGGGGCGCCCGGCTGCCCTCCGTCCCGCGCCCGTGCCCCGGCGCCCGCCCCGGCCGGCACGGGACCTACCTCTGCGCGGACGGGCGCCCCCGCGCCTGGGCTCGCGGCTCGCGGTCGGTCGGGCTGCGGGCGTGCGGGCCAGCGGGACGGTCCGAGGGCTGCGGCGGGAGGCGGGACGGCAGCGCTTTATGGGCGGGCGAGCAGGTAGGAAGGAGGCGCTGGTGAGTCAGGCGGCCGCATTCCTGCGCGCCGCGCGCACCTGTCGGGGCAGGAGCCCGGGCGCCACCGCCGCCGCCGCCGCCGGGCCCGCCCCCCGGAAAGGGCTGCGGCTCCCGCGGCGCCGGCCCCGCGCCCCGACCAGACCCGCCGCGGCGGGGGCCGGGGGAGGAGCCGCCCGCTCTCCCTCCGGGCCAGCCCGGGCGCGCGGCCTCCCCACCTCTCTGGGCTCCGGGCTCCCCGCACCAGGGCGCCCTCCCTCCCCCAGACCCTGGGCGGAGAGCCACCGCCGGACTGTGCGGCCGCTGCCCCGACGGCCATCAGCTGCGCGCGCCGCCCTCCCCGCTCCCTGTGCGGACGTGAGGGATGGGCGCAGGGAGCGCCCCCAGCCCGCGCGAGAGGCCTGGCTCCGCGTCCCAGCTCTGCTCTGCTATTCACGGGGTCCTCTCAGCCCCCTGCCCCGACCGCGCACGTTGTGTCCAGAGGGAGATCCGAGCAAAGGTTGGGTCCTCTGTGCAAGCTACCGAAACCTCCTTAAAGTGTGAACAACGATTCCCACCGAGAGGCCAGCCCCGACCCGGCACGGAGCAGGCGCTCCTTGAGTTGTCACAGCTGTTCAGGCTGATCCGCAAATCTGCCCCCTCCAGGCAGTCCTTTGAGAGCAGACCTTCAAGTGCCGCTGGTTACCTTGGGTGTCAAGTCTGAGCCTCTCAAGGAGTTCCCTGACCCCCAACGGCTCTGTTTTTCTCTAGCATCACCTGCCAGCAATGCCAGACAACACTCGACTGCTGGCAGCCCCCTGCCCAAACCGTGCAGCCTGCTTTTGCACCGGCCGGCCCTTCTGCTAGGAACGCCCCTCCCCCACGCCGAGCCTGGTTTTTCCTCCTTCCTGTGAGTCTTCTTGACCCCCCCCCACACTCCAGGTTGGGTTATGTGCTCCCAGTGCCCCTGAGGCATGGCTTTTCATAGCATTTGCCATACTGGTTTGAAATGATCTGTTTAGGGGGTCTCTCCACCCCCTTGGATTGTGACCCCAAGAGCTGCTGATCTCTGGCAAATCTTCTTATTCCCAGCAATTAGCACAGTGCCTGGTGCATAGCAGGTGCTCAGTTAAAGGGTAGTTGAACTGAGCTGGATTGTCATGTGGCCTCACCGAGCCTCCATGTTGTCATCTGTAAACAGATTTGTGCCCTGCAGGCGCTCAGAGTGATTGTGGCAGTGCTCCTTGCAGGAGTGTGAGCCATAGTTGCCACTCAGCTGCCTTGCCCAGTCACCTGAGAGCCGTTCTGCACAGGCCAGGTGCTCAGAGAGGCCTGCTCCTGGATTAGGGAACACTCTGGAAGGAGCTCCACTTTGGTCAAAGCACTCAGGTCAGCGTGTGCCGGGCCAGCACGAGTGTGCTGTGGACCTGAACCACTCCAGCAGGTGCCCAGTGGACCCTGGAAAACAGGAGAACGGAGCAGGAGCTCAGAGGACAGCCAAATCTAGCCTGTCCCAGGGGCCTGTGTCTGCTAGCAGCATCCCTTAGAGGGCTGGGGTGGGCCATCTACACCCCACTGTGGGCAGGGGGCTGAGGCACCTTCCTAGAGAAGCAGACCTAGCCCCAGAGGTGGCAATGCCTCAGACTCCACCGAGTTCAGCAGCCCCTTCCTCTCCTCATTGCAAATCCTTCCGAAAATGACTAGGGGCATTGGAACCTGGCAGCAGCCGAGAGGTGAGATGTCCACCCCTGTGGACATCTCTGTAGGAGATGCAAGAGAGGAGAGCCTCCTGGAGCAGGATGGAGTCCATGAACCTTGGACTGCTTCTCCTAACTCCTCTGCACTCCTCATGTGGCCTCCAATAGGCCAGACTTGTTCATTCATTAGTTCAATCACTTATTCATTTTACAAGCATTTAATGAGCTCTTATGCCAAATGCTCGGGAAACCAAGATGAATGAAACGTACCACCCGCTTGCTTCTTGGAGCTCAGTTTAAACCATGGGTCTCCAGAGTGGGCTGCATATTCTCCAGGGATGTGCCAGCTAAGCCACTATTAATATACGTCACTTATTGGCAGAGTGGTACATGTTTTTATAAGCAAACACATTATTAATAAATAATAAATAGGGGACATGTGATCAAAAAAGTCCAGTGACCAGTCTGGAGAGGCGGCATTAAGCACATGCTTCAACTGAGGGCAGAGGCCTCTCAGGTGGAGAATCTCTGGGTCTGTTCTCTCCCCTGACCCAGGGGATTACTCAATAGGTTCCTTTTGAATTATAAATTTTCCTAATTTTTTATTTTGAATATTTTCAAACATACAAAAAAGCTGAAAGAAGAGT